GGTGACAACAATCGGCATTTGGATATATTTTGGGTTCGCTGGATGGAGGGTTAACATGCCCCATGCACTCCTTGCAGACTGAATGAGAAAGGCAAGCATACCCTCAAGTAATCTATGTTCCCCAACAGATGTTGGACAACACGGGTCTTTCGTATACAACACTTTCCAAATTACTTTCCTTTTCATTTTTCCTACATCCTAAACCCTAATCCCNNAATCCCTAAACCCTGAATCCTTAACCCTAAATCCTCATCCCTCTTATCCCTAAACCCTAATCCCTAAACCCTTATCCCTAAACCCTAATCCCTAAACCCTAAATGCCTATCCCTAAGCACTAAACCCTAAAGCCTTCAGGGTCTAACCTAAGCAGCCAGAAAGGTGATCGTAGCGGCGGGCGTCCTCGCGAGCCCCAAGCTGCTAACGTTGTCGGGCGTGGCAGAGCCGAAGGAAGTAGGGATGCCGGGGGTTTAGGGTTTAGGGCTTAGGGTTTAGGATTTAGGGTTTAGATATTTACGGTTTAGGATTTTGGGTTTAGGGTTTAGTCATTTACGGTTTAGGATCTAGGGTTTAAGATTTGGTGTTTGATGTTTAGGGCTCAGGGTATATAAGCCAAATAGTGAAGGAATCATATGGAGAAGCGAATGGAAAATCAAGTGGGAAAGTAGGGTTTACGTTTGTTCCGGGTAATTTAGGGTATTTCGGGTTAAGGGTTGCTTCGGGTTTAGTGCTCAAGCTTTGGGGATTTAGGGTTTTGGGCTTGAGAGTTAGGACTTAGGGTTTGATCTTTATGCTTTCTTTTGGCCTGGGGTTGGGAGTCAGGGTTTAGGGTGGACTTCAGCTGAATAGGTGCAAGTTTTGCGGTTCAATTTTCCAGAACAAAAGCCACTCGCAGGAAAGGCGGAGGCTTCGGGCCAAGAGTGCTCTAAATCAGGATTAGGGTTTATGGTTCCAGATATGACGCCCTAGACCCCAAAGACTAAAACCCGATGAGGGGATTCTGGCACCCCACGTCGCAGTGGAGGCATGGATTGCTTACAACTATGGCTCCTCATTGGGGATTGTATATGATTTATGCTAGAAATCCTGCCCGAACCTACGTACCTTTTACCAATTGGACCCTGGTATTGGAGCACGCGAAAATTAGGCAGGAAGTTTGTGTATCAGCCGTTGGGAGTGTTGCTGGTTCCATACATGTTTACAGCAAATGCTCAACTGTTAGGCGTATCGCTGCATTTACGGAATTCAAACTTGCTCCAAAAGCTCTACACAATTCAAAAGCGTGAACCCTAAAGCCCTAAACCCTGACCTCTATCAAACCCATGAACCCTAAAACCTAAGCTGTTCTGACTTTTTTCTCCGGTCAAAGTTGACATAGTCTGATCTCTTTAGCGACAGGCTTCCCCAAGATACCGAAACAGGGAATCCAAGGAGTGTGGTAGGTCTGTTGTAGGGACTAAACAAACAATTGAGTAGTGCTTCTTCGACTGCTATATGCCTACTGCATTCTTGCGGGTTCGCCGTGTCGGGCTCCTGCAGAAGATCTCCTTCCTTTTCTGAGACGTCCCTGGTTGACAGGAGCTAGATCGACTTGGTATACCTGTCTTGGGGGCATGTTTACTTGGCTCTCTCGAAGGCCTCCTGAAGGTTCCAGAACATGTACAGTTGAGAGTGTGTCTTGCTGGGAACTGCCAGCTGGCACTCAGAGGTCGGCTTCCATTCTGCCCTTGAAAGACAGGTCGTTGCCAGCTCGCCGGCAGTCAGTCTGAACTTCCATGAGCACGTCGGCTTGTCAATCGTCGCGCATACCAACGTGCCCTGTGTTGGCCTGGGAGAGAGTAGGATGTTGAGTTTATGTTTTACATGGTTTTGATCGTCGCAGAGCACGGGCCAGAAGGGAAAAGCTACTGGGCGCTTTGCATGTTCTATGTGTACGATATATCTTCTTATACATATGTTCGTTTATACATGTATATACACGATAAAGATAAGAGTAATATCTACCACTAGTATCATATTTCTATCTTTCAAGCAGAGCAGTCCCTAGACCTCGAACCCTAAACCAGAGAAGCCCGTACCTATTGGCTCGTACTAGGGAATACAAGAGTATATTATGCAGTGGATATAGGGATTATACTCCCTTGTTCCTACTAAGAACCAGCAAGCCTAGGTCCAGAAGGATACCACATCAGCGAAGATGGCCGCGCTCCTGGAGACGCGAGATGTGGCACTTTCCATAAACAGGTGTAGCCGATGTAACCCCGACAACTATCATAATCACATATCATTACTATAATTGGGACCCCAAGACTGGTGCCTATAATGTTCGCAGCTTTGTGCAGACAAGCCTGTCTGGCATGGGCAGCGTCAGCATCTGGATCTTGCATCTCTGGCCTATCAGAAAAGTTCTGAGAGAGGTAAGACGACGACGCATTTGGGCAACACCGACCAGTTCATCGGAATCTCGGATGCATTGAAGTTCATTGAAGCTCTGCCAGGTAAGTAATGCAGAAGCCAGACTAAGTATGAAAATCATGGTTCTGGATTCCCTATATCTTTTCAGAAAGACACGAAGACGATGCTGGTAATTATTCAGGCTTCCCTATACAAACCCAGTCTCCATGTCATGTGTGTACTCTTTGTCAGTTGATTCTCCTTATCGCGTGATGCTGGTAATTATTTTGACCGTTCCAGCTCCACAGATCCATATATATATATATGTATATATATATATATGTATATAATACTATATAACCTACTGCATCCCTTATGCTGGCCCCGACACTGAAGTTTTCAGAGCGCGCGCGGTCCAAGGTCAACTCTATGCGTTCCTGAATGCCCGAGGCTGAGCACAGCTGCTTATTGCCATCGACGTTTGTCATAAGAATTGCTATAATTATCAATATTGTTACAAGTCTAGTCAATGACAATGGCGGCAGCAATACAAAATATTACTGTTTGCATTGTTTACGGATATAAGCATATGAAGTAATTAAGGTTTTCGTTTTGCCATTTGATGAGTGTATATCTGGTTCCTGGCAATATGGGTTGCACCATATTGGGTGCTTCATTGACGTGGCCAGAAGCAAAACACACGGTTCATGTCTTCATAGTCGTATTTCGCACTCACCTACCAACTACGAGCGCAGCAGCCAGCACCTGCTCAGATCAACTCCGCATGCTTCTCACTTGGCCACGCATTGTACAGCATTTTCTGGGAAGTTTTGCAGTCTGATTCCGTACGAGTATTCATAGCTGGCATGGGAACTCATCCACGCATCAAAAATTTGGGCTAGATGGCGATTACGGCATAGGGAGTATGTAGGGGAAACTGGGAGTGCAGGTGTTCCTCAAGTCAGAGCAATCCAAACTATTTTTCAAACTAGCAAAAACAGAGCGTTTCGTCAAGCGACATTGCAAAAAAAATCTGAAAGATTTCACGGTCGCATTTGCGCACCGTGCCCATGTTTACATAGAAATATCTGTCTATATATAAATATATGTATGCATGTATATATATATATATACACGTCTACTATCTGTTTATTTACGGATGTACATATACATGTGTACACTCACGCATACAGATGGCGGGCAGAGCAAGCCCCAGGCGACGGACAACCGGCCGGGTCAGCCGGGCCCAGTGGATGCAGAGGTTGGGATCATACGGTCCTTACAAAAGAGCTGTAGTCGAAACTCCCTAAAGGGGGATTATATAGGGGATTAGATAGGTGAGCATTAAAGGGTTTGTTAAGGGGATACGAGGGGGTTCGACTATAGCTCACATGAAGAAATCTGAAAGAATATGAGGGAAATGTCTAGGTGGCAGGTCCATACAAGAACAAAACCCAATACCCTAAAGCCAAAACACTAAAGCCCAAACCCTTAACCCTTAAAACCCTTAAAACCCTTTAAACCCTTAAAACCCTAATCCCTTAAAGCCCTTAAAACCCTTAAAACCCTAAACCCTTAAAACCCTAAATCCTAAACTGCCCAACAATCCCTGGGAGGTCATGTTGCTCGAAGGCTGCCTTGAAGGACGCCTTTCCCTGTGATGGTCCTAGTGGGCTCAGCTGGGTGTTGCTACACATGGGTTTAAGGGTTTAAGGGGTTAGAGGGTTTTGGATTTAAGGGTTTAGGCGTTTTAGGGTTTAGGGGTTTAGGGGTTTGATAAGTGTTTAAAGGTTTAAGAATTTTAGGGTTGAGGGTTAAGCGGTTTAGGGGTTTGGGGTTTAGGGTTTAAGGGTGTAGGGTTTAGGGTTTGAGGGAACGTGGGAAGGTACCAGTGTTGTAGGGGATGATGGGGGATTGTTCGTTGGGATTATATATTAGAAGCACCCAGCTCTCTCAGGCTACTGTATTGCTGTTAAAGAACTTGAATTAAGTTACTATAGTAAGGAACCACTA